GTAAGGATTCTATTATCATCATCATTAACTATATTATTATTATTATTAATTTAGATTATAAATATGAAAGCTACAATTTATATATATACACTCCCTCTATCAATTTCATTGTATTATAAATAATGATAAATTTTAGTGATACAAAATAAACTTATTTTATTCCTGTAATCAATCCAAAGATAAATTCATGCTAAGCTTAAAATCTTATTTTCACTTTGGCATTGACTTGGTTGTACTGGCTTTATTCAATTTCAATCTGGCTGATACTTTTCTAGTTACATTTTTAAGAAAACAAATACAAGTAAATTGGTTTTTAAACTAATCCTAAAGTAAGCTTATTCGATTGTTTGTTTATTATTTATTTATTAGATAAGTCGTAACAAATAATAATTTATTTAAAAAAAATGACTATTTAAAAGATTTTTATATGCGCTTAATATAAAATTAGTCAACCATGAAAGTGTTGATGTATTAAATTTATTAATTGCTGCCGATGAGCTTGGTCTTGACTCGCTTTACAATATTGCAATAGTTTCCTTTGTCAATGACCATGATGACTATATAAATAATAACACAGTTAAAATCCTAAGATTAATATACTCTAAAGAAAGATTTGATGGATTGAAAAACATCTGTTTAGTAAAAATTTGCAATTATAGCGAAAAATTATTTCAATCAAGTGAATATGAATTATTGGAAGAACAAATTCTATTGGAGATTCTCAAAAGAGACGATTTTTATGTTGACGAAATAGATGTTTGGGAAAATATTATTAAATGGGGATTAGCAAGACATCCAGAAATTAATAATCATGATGTTGAAGTTTGGTCAGAACAGCACTTTTCCAAAGTTGGAACTACAATAAAAGAATTGATTTCTTCAATCAGATTCAAAGATATCTCTAACAAGGATTTTTATCATAAAATTTCACAATATCAATCGCTTTTCCCCAAGGATTTGTGGAAACAAGTTTCGCAATATTTTATAGTTCCTGATCGATCAACTTTAAATTTATTGCCATCTAGAAATTCAAAACTTGACTCAATTATAATTAATAAAAAGCTACTTTTGCCTTTTGCAAGTTTGATCGACAGAAAAAGTTTGCCATATAGCTTAATCAGTGAAGTTAAATATGAGTTTAAGCTTTTATATCGTAGTAGTAAGGATGGCTTAAACATAAATATATTTCATGGTAAATGTAATGATATCGATAGAACTCTTGCAGTTGCCAAGATACAAAATTCTGATCAAGTAATTGGTGGTTACAATCCATTAAGTTGGAATGGAGGTAGTTTATTTGGTAAATACAAAAGAACAACGGAAAGTTTTATTTTTAATGTAAGCAATAGAAATGATTCAAATACCATACAATACAGCTACGTCAATAATGACAAACATTCAATTCTGTGTGGTATATTGTATTTACCTATTTTTGGTCATGGTAGTGATATATGTTTTGAAGATGATGGCAGTATTGTTAGTAAGCCGATACTTATAATAACATTAATATAGTACATGGTAGTAAATTTGATGTTTTGGAAGTATTTCAAATAATTGATAGGAATATATATAAGTAAATTTCTATTTTTATTTTATTTTACTACTATACTTAATTATTATTCATTTTAAACGACGATTTATTTTATATACATATATCCTAGTTTTTATTAATATTAAAATCAAGTGATTCCTAAAATAAGATTAAATGAACCGTCTTCTTACATTACTCTCTTGATTTTAATCCATAGCTGTAATATATTCACATTTCATTTTGGCATAATCGTATCGCGTGAAACACATCTCTAACCATAAAAGCCATGAATGACCAACAAGTCATATGCCAACACTATGTTACAGCACACCCATATAATAATAAATAATAAAATCCCAGGTTCAAAAAAAAACAAAATATAAAAATGTTTACAAGTCGTGTACACACAGGAGAAGTATTTGAAATTTTAGCCTTGGACAATTCAATTAGTGATGGAGGTGGTTGTTCAATTACGATTGGTAAAACTGGATCTGTTTTAATTGTTTGTAAGAATGGTGATAGCATCTCTGTCAATGGTTTGTACTTTATAATTAATTTAGTCTTGTTAGAATTAAATGATAATTGATTAATTGAATTTTTATTATTTGATTTTTGAAGGAATTTGTCTAACGGTAACAAGATTCGATAGTTTGGCTTCATGATTTGAAGTTGAACTTCCACCTGAAACTCTTAGAAGAACGAATCTTGGAGAATTAAAAATTGGTGATAAAGTAAATTTAGTAAGACCTTTAACATCATCATTTAATGATGAACATTTTCTACAAGTAAGTTTTAACAATCAGTCAATATATATGATTCGTAACAATAACAAAGAAACTTTCCTCTTACCCTCTTCGCCGTCTTCTTTTAACTGCAAGCATAAATGCGATATATGTCAAAGGTCTTATAATCGATTAGAACATTTAGTTCGTCATAGTAGAGTACATACTGGAGAGAAGAAATCACATGAATGCAATTGGGGCAGATGTACCAAAAAATTCTCCAGATCAGATCAACTCACAAGACATCGTCGAACACATAATAACAATTCATTACGGCATAAATTGAAATTATCAGATGGTTCGTCATATATTCGTATCGGTGGAGTAGGATTGGTTGTTAAAACCATTATGCCATTGAAAGAAAGTGGTGATAAAGTGAAATCAAAATTATGATGGTAATAAATGAAAATTATATCGAATAAGAAATATTTGGATAAATAAATTAAAATAAATGACATAGTATAGTGCTTAATTTATCTGATAAATTAAACAAATAATTATACTCTTTATTTCAGTTAATAATATTAATTAAAAAATCAGAATTCCATGATATGGCTAAATTCGGCATATCATAATATCCATATTGGCATTCTATACTCGGAAATTTGATTTCTAATTTCTCTTTAATTTTGCTATGAATTATTTGGATAGCATTATAACAATTATTAACTCCAATTTCAAGATCGGAAGTACAAATCTTATTATCATCTGAAAACTTAAAAGAAATATATGTTTCAAATCTTTCCAATGACTTGTAAATTGGTTCTTCTAAAACATTTATAATATCATCAATAATTTTCCTATGTTTTAAACTAACTTCACGCAATCTTTGATTTGGAAAAGGTATTTGAAAATAATCCAATTCATTTTCAAGTTCCATTCGTGATATATTAAAATTGTCCGCTTTCCGGCTATGATCAAATGGATCCCATAAATATTTACCTGTACGGTAATATTCCATTATATAATGAAAAGCTCTTCCATTTCTATCAAAAAAATATTCATTGTCATTATCAGTTGGTTTTAAAAGACTTTTATTTCTCTCTTGAAACATTGTGCCTAAGAGTGTATTTGGATATTGTGTAAGTGTTGATATATAAGTCACATACTTTTATTTTTTTTTTTTCAAAAATAAAAATTTTAATAATTACTTCAATTAATGTTATAAAAAGCCATTATTATTTGAAGCTAAATATTCACATACTTTAATGCCTCCAACATTCAAAGTAATTCTTTCGTTAATATCTTTGGTTTCTCTTTGATGATTACTACTTTCCTCCATGTTTTTTTTTTTTATGAGGATGTATCCGTTTAATAATCAACAAAACTTTATACTAATACTAATACTAATATGGATATCTAGATATTTTCCCGTTAAATGGGAAGATTTTACAAATGATACACATATAAACTCGATGAGTCGAACGCAAGCAATCAATTGTTTAAAGTACTTTATAATATAAATAAATGTCTGACTTATCGCATTTACAAGTGATAATAGTCCATTTACCAAAATTGTGAAATTATTCACATAATTACATTCCCAAGCCTGAAAGTTATTTCTCAATTCTTCTTTGATTCTTTTGTGATATATTTTGCATATTTTATAACTGTTGCTAGTTTTAATTTTAACAGTACGAGAATGACTATATATTACTTCTTCATCTGTAAAAATAGTGTATCCTTGCTTTCTACAAGCATTCATTGACCCATATATCTTTTCCCTCTAAAAAACCTACAATTTCCTCTATAATTTTTTATGTTTCAAGTCATAATCAAAACCTTTCTTGCGATATCAACAAACAATTTTCTGATACTCTGCTACTGCTACGATATCATTCCATTATATAGTGAGATGCCCTTCCATTTCTATCAAAAAAATATTCATTACTATTATTAGTTGGTTTAATAAATTTTCAAGAAGCATCAAAATATTATCAGAAACAAATGATTGTTATTTAAATTAACCAAATTTTTGGTAAGTAAATAGATACTTTAACAGTGATGTCCGTCTGTATTTTCGTTCTGTGGTCTTTGGAGGCTCTCCTTCCCGAAAATCATATTAAATTATAACTATCGCAGCATTTTTTTCAAACATTTTCACCTTCCCGCAGTACAAAATTCAATCTCCTTCTGGAAAGAGCGGTTGAGGTTCAGCAATGTTAGATGTTGCAGTTATAGTGACAAATCATAATGATATACAAGGATAATATTGTAACTGAGGCAATGTATGCATCAGAAGAAGTTAAACGAGCAAAAATCCATGTTGGTTTGGTTAATACATCAATTCTATTTATAGCCAGGAGAAATCTACATTTTATTTATGTCCATAATATACAAAACGTTCTAAGCTCGGTGACTTATCCGAGCGAAACTATCTGTGTAGGTAGATGGTTTGTTATACAAATATCATTAAACCTGAAACCATTATTTATTTTATTATATAAATATCATTAATACTAACGCTATTTATTTCAAAATTCTTGATAATAATAATAATGAATCTTAGAAATAAGACTAATTTAAATTAGTAATTATATAAAAAAGTAGCTACAATAGCACATGACACAACAATAATTATTTTATTTATATACATAAAATAAAAACTATGCAATTTAATATTGAAAATTTTTTGCCAATATGAAAACATATATATATAAATAAAAAACTCAATTACATTATCATCATTATTTAGAATCCCAACGACGTTTACGTAAAGTTCCCGTAGATTGTTGTGATTGATTTGAAGGAGATTGTGTATTACTATTAGCAGTTGCTGATGATGATGACGAATTAGTAGCAACATTATTGTTATTATTATTATTATTATTATTATTATTATTATTATTAGTTATCGATGAGAATGATGACGATGACGATGCAGCACTTGATCTAAGTAATCCTAATCCTGATTCAGCTGATGTCGCTTTATGAAAATTCATTTGAATTTTTGAAAAAATCTTTTTGGCAGGAGGACCAGCATCAAGATGCGGTGGAGGTGGTATTTGTACACCGCCACTACTACGTCCACCATCATCACTTCCAATTCCTGCTCTTCCTCCTCCAAGTGGAATAGAATTTGAACTAGAACCAACTGCACCACGACCTATACATATAAATATACAATTATTGAATGTTTTTATTGAATAGCACCGACTAAATGATAATTCATAACAACTTACCACTTCCGCCGCGACCTCGTCCACGACCACTTTTTCCACCACGTCTTCCTCTAATCATATTTCTTGATTTGCGGAATCTATTATTCTAATAAATTATTTTTAAGATATACCATAAGTAATACAACATATAACTCGTTTGTACTTTTTTTTTTTTCAAAAAAAATTTTTTTGACAATTACCTGCATTGCCAAATCCATCAAATCAGTTGGGACAATTTGTCCAGCTAATTCAAGATTTCTAACCAAATCACCTGCAAATTTATCTTCTTTCTTTGTAATAAACGTATATGCGGTACCCTTTTCGCCTATGAAATTTTTAAATAAAAAAAAGTAAAAAAATAATAGAGATTTTCGTTATCATCAATCATTCATATTAAAATTATCAAATAAATAAATAGTTGGTGATAAAATTTACCCGCTCTTCCTGTCCTTCCAATTCGATGTACATGAGAATCAATATCTCTTGCGATATCATAATTAATCACAGTCTTAACTGATTTGATGTCAAGACCTCTTGCTAATATAAATACAATAGAAATGAATTTCTAAAATTATCACAATAATAAAAATAATAGCAAATCATTATCAACAGCTACTATAAAACACGTACCAGCTACATCAGTTGCCACCAACACAGAAAATTTACTATTCTTAAAATCTTTTAATACTTTGTCACGTTCTGACTGCATCATATCACCATGCAAAGCGCCGCCTTTTAAATTTAATTTATAAATATTAGGATAAAAAACTATTCCAACGATCAAATTTTTAAATCACAATACATACATTCATGACCAGCTTGTCGAAGATTCAGGGATAATTCGTCAACTCCACCTTTGCGACTAACAAAAATTAAGACGCTGCCATCTTTATTTTTATAACCAATTAAAAATAATTAAATAATTGAGCAATAAAATACGAGGTTAAAATTAAATAATATGTAAGGTTCACTCACCAACACAAAGTGCCACTAAATTCGAAATCAGCCAGTCCCATTTATACCCATCATCGGTTAGAATAACAAATACTTGTGTGATATCAGTATTTGCCTAAAAAAGTTATTCCCGTTTGTTAAGAAATTTTAAATATCTATTTATACGTATGTGTATATTTGTATACCTGTCCAATATTGCCAATTGATATTCTAATAGGTTCTGTTGTAACTTCACGAGCTAATTTTTCCACTTTTTTGGGAAAGGTTGCACTAAAAAGTAATGCTATTTATAATAATATTTATATTTAAAAATAGTTAGAAATAAATTGATAAATAAGCAACATTGAGAATCTCTGCAAATCAATTAATCAATAAATCGAGCATTTACTTTGTCTATCTGGTCGGATATTATCACATATGGATCGTACTTGTGGTTCTAGATATATTAACGTAACGTTGAATCATAATGATATATCTGGTTAATATTATTATCATCATTATTGCTATTATTATTACTGTCGTTTGTGTTGTTATCATTAATTTACCAAATCCAAGATCAAACATTCGATCAGCTTCATCAAGGACCAAGAAACTAACTCGACGGAAATTTGTTGCTTTCATTTTTACCATGTCAATAAGTCTTCCCTGATTTCATATATAAATATTTAAATAAATGTTTTTTCATCAAAAAAAAAATTTTTGACATAATAGTTATTGGTAAAAAAAAATTTGGGTTTTTTTTTTCTTAAACTTACTGGTGTACCAACAAGGATTTCTATATTACCCTGTCTCAGTTCTTTGAATTGATCCATTTTAGAGGCACCGCCATAAACTGCAGCAACTCTGCATTTAATTAGAAAGCAAAGTATTTGGGAAGCAGAGAGAGACAGTAGTGTATGCGTCGATAGGATTTTTTTTTTCTAACAATTTTATATATATGTATATGAGAGATCAAATTCTATGATTTCTACCTCAATCCGTAACTCTTTGCAAATTTTTTGGCTTCAATGTAAATTTGACTTGTCAATTCCCTTGTAGGCGCCAATATTAATCCAATAGGTCCTTCTCCTGATTAATAAGGAAGGATTTGAAATATAATATTTAGTATATAGTGATGGTACATATATAAAAAATAATCTTTTTAATACCTTTTTTAAGTTCTTCTTGATCCATTATGTGTATCAGCATTGGCCATATGAATGCTGCTGTTTTACCAGAACCTATTAATAAGAATTTATTAATGTTGTTGTATCATTATTAACAGTTTCAACTTTCTGAATTGCAAAATTGATCTCTACCTGTTTTTGCTATGCCAATAATGTCTCGACCAGATAATGCAACAGGTAGTGCCTAATATAATTTTTTGAAAATTAAAATAAATAAATATATGTATATTCTTTGATAACTTGTATAAATGAATAAAATGCCTGTTTTTGGATTCCAGTAGGTTCAGAATATCCATATTTTATAATTGTATCTAATAAAGCCTCGTCAAAACCAAAATGTGCGAATGAAATACAAGGCTTTGCTGCATCGACGCCAGATACATGCATATCTATTGAAAATCATAATACGTGATTAATTAATCGGATCTCGAAATAAAATATAAATAACACTTATATTACCAAGTTCAACTTGTAATTGTTTAATACGATCATCAGATAAACTTGCAATTTCAGGATGTTCTTCATAAAAGTTTTTCTCAATTTCAATATAATCAATCTTTGAATGATCTAATTAACAACAACAACAATAATAATATAATAATAATAATAATGTTATTAGCAAGATGCATATGTGTGTATATTTATATTTGATATTTTATGTTTTATATGTGAATATCATTATCTTACCTACTGGTGCCAATGGTTCAACATCTTTGCGTTTTTGCTCTACAATAGGATTATCATCTGAATCATACCTAGTATTCCATGTATACATATAATTAGCAATTGATTTATTGATTAAATTTTATCATTATTAATGAAAAATGGCTTTACTCAAGTTGTGCATCAATAGCACGAGCAGTTGCATAAACTTCTTCATCTGAATTTACATTCTAAATAAAAAAATATTTTTTTAATTAATTAATTTTAAGAAATATTCAAATCAAAAAATTTTTAAAAGGAAAAAGACTTGATTAAAAAATCCTAATATTACTTCATCTTTTTCCATAGGCTTTTGACTCTTTCCAACTTCTATTCCTTTCTTTTTCATATGATTCACATAACTTTCAACAAAATCTTCGTCTTCGATATCATCACGACGGATCTTCGATAACAAAAATTGAAAAAATATCAATAATTATAATACGGGATCGTGAATCAGAAATAATTTCCATTTTTTAAAAAAACATGGTATTATTACTGTTTCTTTTTGTGTAGTAGTAGTTTTGCTTTCTTTCTCGACTTGATCATAGATACCAAGCATATAAGCTTCTAATGGATCATCTTCAGTATCCTCCTCATTGATTACAGGTGATTTTGTTTGTTCCATATTTTTATTTATTATGATAAACTCTAAAATTAATATTAATATTAAATAATTAAAATATTAATTGGAAATGATGGACGCATTACATTTAAACTTGTCAAAATTGTTAACCAAGTCTGATTTATAGATATTAGAGTTGGATATCATTTTAAAGCTCGCGCTAATGTTTTAAAAGCAAAGGTCTTTATACTTTAAAACTACTTTGTCTGATAATTGGATTAAAAGTTATGAAGATGATGACATTTTATTTATATTTCTCCAAAATATTTGATGGATTATTCATTTTTATAAATTTTAAAATTTTAAAAGTAATATTTACAATGGAACTGCTAATATACAAAATCTGATATTTGTGATGAATTCTAATACTGATTTGATAAAAGCCATATAATGAATGTCTTGATGGATGAGTAAAATATGAGGAATTTGGCAGAGTTGGAAATAAACCCTTGATAATTTTGATCTGGGATTCTTTTCCATGTAAGATGATGGTTCCATCCAGGGTGTTTTGGAAAAATTCCAATGGTTGAATCTCACTTGGTTCCTTTCATTTTGTGCAAATCAAAGCATAGGCAGACAGGGTTAGAGTTGACAATACCCTGGCCATTATCCAATATGTTCAAGGTGTATTGTGGCTTTGTGTTCCTGATGATAGTGGATGGTTGAGTTGGTAAATTTGGTTGAGGTGATTGATTATCATTTTGAATTGGTGATTGAGATGGTGGAGTTGGAGTTGCTTGTGGTTGTTTGTGATGCTGTTGTTGGATTCTACACTTACATATTGGGTTGAAACAAATTTATATAAGTGATATGTGAGAAAAAAAGATCATATCACTGTATAGATTTGAAGAATTTCACATTTACATATTACTATGTATCTTATGAAATAAAGTGATTGAAATGATTATATGGGACATACTGCAACAAAACCAGACAAAGTGAACATTTGTATTACCAAGAATTTCAGGGATCAAAATTTAGT